TGTGTGTGTGTGTGTGTGTGTGTGTGTGTGTGTGTGTGTGTGAGAGAGAGAGAGAGAGAGAGAGAGAGAGAGAGAGAGAGAGAGAGAGAGATTTATACAATAGTTCTTTCCACATGGAAAGATATTGCTTATAAAGCTCATTCAAAATGAAAAAAATTAAGATGTACTAAGAAAAAAATGAATTATAAAAGTCAGCAAGATCATTAGTTGTACACACTGGTATAAAGAAAATGCTGAAAAGCATATTCCAAAAATGCATTTCCAAACCTGTCATAAGTGGTATTCCAATATACTGTAGAATTCATGAAAAAAATCCAAGTCACATGTAGTGAAGTAATTTAAAATTTTAAATGTTTTATATCATAGTATGATGAAGATGTGAGAGACTATGAAGAAATGTCAGTGATTTACCATCATGAAGGCTTCTTCTGGAGATGCTGGTTTTTTGGAGATGATCCACAAACTTCAGTTTGGAGATACTGGTTTAGTGAGTATAAGATGTTATATGATGTGTGTGTTAAAAGTATGGCCTCACTTTAGCTTCAGAAATAATCTCTTATATAGCAATTGAAGGATATGATTTCAAGTGACAATATATACTGCATTTAAAACCTCCAGGTTTGGAAGGCAGCACTGTCTTTTATCATGTATATTCTTTGGTATAGAAGACAGTTGGAAGTTGGATTTCATTTATGTCTCTGGAATTTAACCCATCACTTTCTGCATGCTAAGCAAATGTTCAACAACCAACATTATGTAACTTATAAAACCAATTAGTAAAAGTGTGCTTAACTTATAACTGGACTGAAAACTCATCCATGTAGAAGGTTATTTGTAGCTTTGCATGCAACTCTAACTTGCTAAGTTAGAACATAAACATTCAAATTTTGGAGGCTTTTTAGTTTAATCTAGGATTAATTATTTTAAATAATATTATTTTAAAGTACTGACCAGGATTTTAATTGCCTGCTGAAATAATATTATTCCTTAGAAAAACAGATTGTCATTGTGGATTTGTAATTATCTCTTACCATGGGAAAGTTACTTAAACATTCTTACCTTATCATCATGATTGTTAACAAATTTTACCAACATTAATTTGATATGTAACACCATGGTAAGGAATACATATTAAGCCTTGGCTTTTCTATTTGTCTAGGTATACTTTCACTCCATCAAGCTACACATCAAATTAATGACAGTTGATGAGTTAAACTTGAGGTAAATTACACAGTTGAAATATGACCAAGCATCCTATCTATTTAATTTACTATTTTCAGCATAGCACAGCTTTTAACTCATTATATAATAATAATAATAATAATAATAATAATAATAATAATAATAATATCAATATATCTGGTACCATAAATTTTATCACATCTGGTTACTTATGTAATGCTAGAATATGTATATATTCTTGAGATTATTATAGAAGCACACTTAAGAGGCTTAACTTTCCTTAAGTGAAGCAGAGAAATGGATGGGGGAAGATGGTGAGGAGGGACTGCACTCGTGGAGGGAGGAGAAACTGCAGTCAGGAAGTAATATATGTGTAGCTAAAGTTTTCTTGGTTCTGTTTAGCCCTGCAGCCTGCCACTTGGCCCCAAGTAAAAACACAGAGACTTATATTACTTATAAACAGTATGGCCATGGCAGGCTTCTTGCTATCTGTTCTTATTTCTTAAATTAACCCATTTCTATTAATCTATAAGTTGCTAAGTGGCTTGTGGCTTACTGGTACTTTTACATCTCGTTTCCTCTATGTCTGGCTGGCGACTCCTGACTCAGCCTTCCACTTCCCAGAATTTGCCTCTCTCCTTATCCTGCCTACATTATACTTCCTGACTGGCTACTAGCCAATCAGCATTTTATTTATCAATCAATCAGAACAACACATTCACAGCATCACCAGCATATATGAGAGAAGACTAAATAAAAATAATTTTAAAAAGAGACTCTTCTGTAAATGGTCAAAGTAATTTTAATCTCAATACAATAAAATTCTGTTTCAGGACTCATCACATATCAGATTGGTCACTAGAAACAATCTATATCCTTTAATTGCATAATACATATCTGGAATAAAGATATAAACACATTTTAGAAATGCAGGAGAAAGTACTACTGGGAAGGAAATGTGACAAGAACTATTGCCATCATTGAAAGCATTAAGTTTTTTGCATATCTGAGTAAAGAAGGAAATAAATAACTACATAGATTAGAGCTTGTATGAGAACTTGGTTTGCAAACATGAAGACCTGACTTCAAATCCTCACCATGTTAAAAGCTGGGCGTGCATATAACTTCAGTCTTGTGGGATATGAAGACTAGAGGATTGCTGGGCCAATTCTTAGGGAATGGAATTTCTAATAAAAAATGAATGTGATAACTTGACTCTACTGCTTGTACCCATGAATGATCAGAGTATGGAGCTTTAATAATGGGGAATACTCTACAAGGCCTGAGGTTGATACCTGTCCCTCAAAACCCACTAGTACAATGAGGGCGACGTTCTTGTGCAACGGGTCATATTTCCTGTCCCAGAATAAAGTTAAGTAGAAGATACTCACTGTAAGTTTAAAGAGAAGTGAATGAAGGAAATACTTGAAATAGATATTAGAGAATTTCATAGAAAAGAGTGCTCTAAACCTTTGAAATATTTTTGCAAACCAATTTGAAAGAGGCTGATAATATCTCAAGATATGCAAAATAATGACTAAAGAAGTTTAAGAAAGGAAGCTATGGAAGAGTTCTCCTGCAAGCACAGTTAATTTTGAAGATCAGGAAAACATTACCTACATGTTACACTCTACCAACTCAGAAGCAATTGGAGCAAGAAGCAGCATAGACTTGAAATCCTTTCTCATTGTGTACAGACTCACCAACACAGAGATGAAGTATTACTGGCAAATGGGGCTTAAATACGTTGTATTACCAAATCATGACAATAATCTTATGGTTGCCAGCCTGTCTCAAATACTTTGTTTGATAGAAATGGCAAACTCATTTTGGATTCCAGCTCTGGTCTGATTCTTTTTTTTTTTTTAAATCAAGTACAGTTATCTGTCTTTCAGTTTATTTATCTATCTATAGATACAAATATAGATACAGATATGACTGTTCATGTCTTTCATCCCAAATTCCTGTGGTGTTTCTCATACAGTTTGTATTGATAAATACTTTTGGTAAGATACTGGTTACAGTTCCATGACAAAGCAAGAATATTAGTAATTATAATAAAAACATCTTCTTCCATACAATTTTCTCAGGATGCTATAAGTTCTATTGGCACAAAATTGGAGTAAGTAGAGTTTCCAGCCATTTCTGGGTTTTTGTGCCTACAACATTGAAAGATATAAACATTACTTGAGATATTGCAGAAACTTAACTATGGGCAAGGACAATATAAAATGGCATCGAATGTGATTCAATATAAAGAAAGCAGTAGAGTGGGTGCTTTCCCAATATTTTTAGATGCTTTTACTTGAATTACATTTCAATTAGACTGCTACTTGGTATTCTTAATTGTTTGGAAGAAAAGGCAAATAAACTCCATTTCATACATAAAGATTTGGAAGCACAAACCTAAACAATGAAGTAGTCAAAATTATTTCTGATGTTTGTGAAAGTGTATCTTTAGTTGGGTGGTGGTGGCACATACCTTTAATCCCAGCACTCACAGGGCAGAGGCAGGTGGATTTCTGAGTTTGAGGCCAGCCTGCTGTACAGAGCAGTTTCCAAGACAGCTAGGGCTGCTATAAACAGAAACCCTGTCTCAAAAAACCAAAACATAAGGTATCTTCATGTTCTTTATTATATTATGTCTCCTGAATTAGAGTTTGAATAAACAAAAATTACCATAATAGCCAATGTAGATTAAAATTTAATAGTGTATATTTATTTTACAAAGTTATAGATTTTATGATAAGATTTCTTTCAAACATAGTATGAATGTTGAACATAGTCACCCATCACCCTATCTTTCTCCCTTCTAGAAAGTTTTCTCTCACAAAGAGTACTGTGGGGAATGGATTAAGGTTATTTTATATAGCCACTATGTATGTATTTTTACACAAGAGAAATTTATACTTGGAGCATATGATAAATGTAAGAACCTTCAACACCAAGAAAATGATAATCCAATGAATAAGTGCACAAATAAAACAAACTGAGAATGAACACCAATGACCAGTATATATATATATATATATGAACAAAAGTTCAACATCCTTACCCATCAGGAGAATGCAAATCAAAATGGCACTGAAATGAAATGCAATTCAAAATGGCATTGAAATTCTATATCATCCAGCCAGCAGGTGGCAGTTAGTGCAGAGATTTAAAACTAATCAAAATGCAGAGAATAAGTGACTGTGGAATGTTCATTCCTAAAGAGGACATCTATATCACCCTCTATTTCCAGGGGTCAAGGAACACTGCAGAAGAGGGGTCAGAAACAATGTAAGAACTAGAGGTCAGGGAGTAAAGTTTTCGGGATGTGAAGGAGATGTTGCACTCATAAACTCATAGCAACTGTGGCTGCTTGCACAAGACTTGCACATGATCAATCCAATCAGCATTCCAATGTGACAAGGAGAAGACAATAATATAAACATGTATGTGGAAAATGATAAAGAATCAAAACATATTTCCAAGTGTGGGATATATTTAAGAAGTAAAACCTGCAAATTTATGCATAGATAGAACAGAGATAAAATCAAAAGGAATAGAGACAATTTTACCAAAATTATAGCAGAAAACTTCCTAAACCTAAAGAATGAAGTATACATTCAAATACAAGAGGCATTTAACATCCCAAATAGACATGACCAGACAAGAAACCCTTAATGATGTATAATCAACATGTCAAAAATACAAAGTAAAGAAACAATACTGAAAGAAAATTGAAAAAAGATAAACCTTAACTTACATACAAAGGTAGAAATATCAGATTGCCACAAAAAAGAAAGAGGAAAGACCCAAATCAAACAAAATTAGAGATGAAATGGATGACATATTTTCAACACACTCCAAGAAAATCTAGAGCATCATTAGAGAATAGTTTGAAAACACCCTTCAAAAAGCTGGAAAATCTCTAAGAAATTGATGTTTTTTTATAATTTCACATGATCTGCCACAATTAAAACCAGAAGAAACAAGTAACTTAAATTTATTATAAGCCGTAATAAAAAAAATCTCCACAGAAAGAGAAGTCTAGGTCCAGATAGATGCATTGCTTAATTGTATAAAATCTCCAAGGAAGATCTATTTACCAATGCTTCTCAGTTTGTTCCACAAAATAGAAAGGGAAGGTATGGTGATACATTTTATGGCAATATGTTTTACATTCAAAGAGACTAGGAATTTTACTAACCTTATAGCTGAGTTAAAAATATGACTTGAAGTCACTTGAGGTTTAAGACTGCTGTGTACTCAGCCTTTTTGTTTAATGGCTCCATTAGAAGAAACATCCTAACTTGCCTT